GCCTCAGAACCAGTATGGGCTTTTGCTGCAGGTTCTATTGCCTCTTTGGGCAGGAAAGGTTATTGTTTGTTCTATGTCCCTGGTCGTCTGTATCCAGAACTAAATGATGAGCAATGACATAGAAGAACTGTCTCACTGGAAGATTAGAACATGGTTCATTCTTTTTTTTGTCGACTTAGTCTGACCCAGGTTCTTGGTTCTTTGTGTCTACTGGCCGCTTCGCCATTGGAGTCTCTCTGTCTGTACTCCTCTCTGCTTTGCACTCAGAAGTCAGAGAATTTATTGAAAATGTTACTCCGAGGCCAAAAGAGAATAGTTATTCTCTAAACCCATTTCTTTGGAGAGGATTTCAAGGCATGCCTAGATATAAGTAGCTGGAACTGGTGTTTAACTCGAGGTCTGAAAACAGGCGCTGAGTTATTCTCAGCGGAGGGAGAATAGACATGTTCCCTTCTGTTGACAGATTTTAACTTTAGGACCATTTCCTTACTTTAAGGACCGTTATCACATGTTTTTGTCATAAACAGCTTGTTTGTCAGAAACCCTGTTTTTGGACAGTTTGACAGACAGTGGAACAGAGGATTATTACGTTAGCCAGTTTCAACAGTCTGGGTCAGATAGTAAATATCTGCCCTCGATTTGTGTCTGAGGATGTCTAAATAGAGTAATCAATAATCTATCTGGTCTGTTCGCTCTCCTTCCATGGGCAGCCTAACATCTGTAGTTTTAAAACATTGAGGATGGGTCTCTCCGTCATATTTGTCGCATACATTTTTTAATAAAGAGGAAATAGTCCTGATGATAAAAGTCTTTTTTTTTTTAAGTTAGAAAGAAGTGGAGGTGACTTGTTCTTGATAACTGCTGTGTTGGCATACTCTCACTCAGGCTCCTTTATTTAGGTATGTTCTCTTCTTAAAGGACTTTTAAGGGATGCTTAGATGGCAGGGAACAGAAATAGTTCCCTAACATCACAGTTTTGTTTTATATTTTCCTTTTTCTTCTATAATGTTCTTTGATTTTTTTTATTTCTGAATTACTGCATAAGAACTGAAGTTAATTAGAATTGAGTCATACATCCTGAAACCTTTGATCCCAGGAACCGGTCCGTTCCTAATCAGAATCCTTCTCCTGCACCTCCATCCCTAAGGTCCATCTTGTCCTTCTTTAACCCTTTTTACCTTTTTTCCCAGAGTACATGCATCTTTTTTTTAATGCGTCCCAGGATGTCTGCATAAAACAACACTTTTTAGTGAAATGCTCTTGTGCCTGTTTCTTGTCTTCTTAATCTGTTACATTTACTGATTTGTTATAAGAAAAAGTCTTTTGTCTGGCAATCCAAAGTAAAAGCAAAGAAGTGTATGCGAGCGGTGTGTGTGGGAGGCTGTGTGCATATGAGCAGGCTTATGTGCTGTGAGGCTGCATGCACCTGGAAAGCACTTGACAGATGGTTACTTCGGCTCTCGCTGAACATTTCTTCCTTTTCCTTCCGTGTTAATCCTCTTTCATATCGAAAGTGTTACGGTCAGCACTTTGATCAAGGTAGGCTCCCTCAGTCGTCCTGATTGTTTGCGGGGGCATCTCTTAAGTAGGTTTATTCATCCCCACCCCTCCTATCTATTTCTGTTTGATTCAAACAAGCCAGGAGAGATCACAGCTTTGACTGCTCTGCTCCTTTATATTTGTTTGTTGGTAAGATTACAGAGCAGTGTATCCTAATATCAAATACTCGATCATATCAGTAACCTCAATCTCTAATACAGGTTTTGTATTTCAGAAAATGAGGAAAATATTATGTCAGGCTAAATGTAATTCAGAGGCAAAGTTATAAACAGTAATATATTCTTTTCTTTGTACTTGCCAAGCAGGTGCAAAGAACACAAGTTAGCCGCATAGACCATCAGCTTTGACAATTATTGTTCTGGAAGTTGTCATTTAGTCTCTCCTATCATTATTGCTGATTATACCAGCAGGCTGTAGAAGGAATACAGTGCCTGTCAAACTTTCATGGATTTTATGGGGATTTTCTTTGATAGATGAAAAGCAAAAACAAACAAGTACATAATTGTAAGCCAGAAAGAAGTGATACTTAAAAAAAAAAAAAAAAAAAAAAAANAAAAGGTGTGAAAAAAGAAAATCTAAAAAAAGCCTTAAAATTGCCAGTTTGCAGTTGGCTCCAGGCGTTATGGGAAAACAGAAAACATGTGCAAACAGGGACTCTGGTCAAAACTAAAACAACATTTCACTTTTTGTCCTCCATGTAAAAGGCTATGTGTGGAAAAACACTAACAAAGAAACACTGAACACATGCTCCCCTTACTGAAGCACGGCGGTGGTAGCATTATGCTGTTTAGGGACATTTGTTCTATTAGTGACGGAGAAACTGGTCAGAGTTGGTTGGCATATAAAGGGAACTAAATACTAAAAAATCATAGAAGAAAACCTAGCAGACACTGAAGAATACCTGAGGGGGAGATTCGGTATTTAGCTCCTTTCCATAGTTTTTACTGCAACCTTCTGGACTTAGCTCCCAAGTCCTTAGCAAATACTCAGCAAGCAAATTCCAGCCTATTTTTTTTTATTGGATTTAGACAGAAATCCAAAAACGATCACAACTTCTTGATTTCCAGAAGAATTTACTAAAGACGGACAAACCTTGCTGAAAGATCTGCATTTTTACCACATTTATATTATTTCTGTATATATGCATGTATATATGTGTGTATATTGCGCAATTGGATCATTCACTGAGGTGAACCGGTCCTAAATCCGGTTTACGCCACTTCTGTTTGTTTTAATATAAGATACATATGTGATAGCTTTCAGTGTCTGCAGTCAATGCATTTAATCCCATGTTTACGTCATTCCCCTGGATCCCGACACACATCCAAGACTGTGTGGATGTGGATCGGGAGTCAATGTGTTTATAGTTTTGCTTTTTTCTCTTATTTTCTTTTATGATGTGATCATGATACCGTTGCCCTAATGCTCAGGATTTTGATACATAGAGAGAATGGCATCTGCTTTAAGTTTCCAAATTTTTTTAGAGCGTTATTTACCTGACCTAAATTGAATTTAGAGCTATTGTGCAACATAGAAAGAGCAAAAATGTTAGTTCTGTGAATCAAGCTCATTGAGATATACCCAGAAAGCGTACTTCCCCACTGGAAGTGAAATAAAAGTTAGATGGTGTTAGTCTATCCCATATAATCCCAATGCATTACAGTGAGATTTACAGGCATAACCTGTTATAATGTACAAAGGTTTAAGGAGTATGAATACTTACTTCGCTGCAAGTAAAAGGAAGCACTCTGTCTGCACTAAACTTGCATTCTGATCTCCAGCATGTTTTCAGTATCCAACTGAAACATGCTGAGTTTTAGGTCTCCACGGTGTTCAATCACTCTCTGTTCACACAAAAGCAATAACCTTAACGACATAATGGATAGTGTTATGAATGGCGCACAGACACCAAACACATCCTGAGTATCATTCCTGTGCTGATAGATTGTAATACATAGAAATTACACACACTTCTAAGTTCTCATCACTGCTCAATTAGTCCCAAATCAAATGTTGTGGTAACAGAGTCTAATTGAAATGCTCAGAATTGTGCCCCAGGAAAGAAAATCAACGCTCGTGTCGACCCGGGTTGTAGAGGTCTGATGTTTAGACAACATCATGGCTGTTAAAACAACAAACAAACACAAAATAATTCTAATTTTACCAGCAGCTCTCTGGCTATTTTTTTTATTTTTATTTTTTTAGAAAGGCAGCTCCCCCCCCCCTAATTTTAGCCTGTGCTCTGCAGCAGATGTTTGTGCCCTTTCAGATACTGTGGGTAATAATCCTTCATATTTTTCCCGTTTGAAGCTAAATGAGCCTTTAATGCACTCTGATTCCGTCTACTTGGACTCATTAACTGTTTTTTGAAAGTCCATCAATTATTTCTGTTTTTATTAATTTCATATGTTATGAATTTCTTATTATATGAATTTCTTGTATATAAATTCTAACAGAAATCTTTATAAAAAAAAAAAAAAACTGGAGACATTTAATGCTGCTGGGACTTTGGTTTGAAACGGTTTGTCAAACTCAACCACAGAATTGGCCAAGACGTGAAACATTATCTATAAAACATTGCAGGCATCACACACAGATATTACAGATTTTATTCAGATTGAATTAATCACAGTCTTCTAGTTTTATAAGCAAAACGGTAATATTTTGGACTCTGACTGGATTTCCAATTCAAATGTGGGAGGAAATTAAGATGGGAGGCCTTTTTATAAACATCATAAAAGCGTGTCAGCATAATGGGTAGGTTTTCAGTGTGTGGTGAGATCGGTGTGAGCGCGTTGTGGTCCACCTGATGGGTATCAATCGTTGATGCATGAAATTATCTCTCAGGTCGGTACAATTTTGTTGTGGCCTGGTTTTGGCCAAGCAGTTAACATTCCTGGTGAATAGCTACCATGCATAATGTCACTTTGTATAAGTTTTAACACAATGCCTTCATGTCTGCTTTACCACTTCAGAGCATTTGGATGTGGTAGTCTAACGCCAAGCAGTGCAAATTTAGTAAGATGAAAGAAAAAAAACAGTTGTTTTAATTGGTACATATGCATAATCACAACTTTTCCGTGGGGAAACATGGCGATGGTGACGCATCAGTTTGCAGCAAAAGCTAGCTGGGTTAAATATGGACTGAACAGGGCTGAATACAAATGACTACAAATGAGTATTTGGTTTAAGCAACCTGAAACATGAAACATAAAATAAATAAAGAGCTCTAACCTTCACTGTTTCCATACTTGCTCGATTAGCGACACTACACCACAGAAATGTCTTTGAAAACTTTACTGTTTGGATGTCTGCATTCTCCCCATCCATCATCACAAAGGTGCTGCTCGCTCAGTGTGTTTTGGCGCCTCATTAAAGGTTCTGCAATGCATCTAAAGTCCCGTCACTCATCTTCTCCTCTCACCCCTTTTTCCTTCCAGATGGTCACAAGAACAAAGAAAATATTTGTGGGTGGCTTGTCGGCCAACACGGTAGTGGAAGATGTGAAGCAGTATTTTGAACAGTTTGGGAAGGTAAGACTGCTTTTGTTTCTAACCTGCAAAAAAACTGAAATGTATTTGATTGTTAATGTCACCCAGAGGAAATATATTTTTATTGATAACTGTGGAGATCTTAAGGCCTTAAGCATATTAGTTTTTTTGGTTTTATCAACAGAAAATTGATTTATCCTTTATCCTTTAGCGATGCAGCAGTTATTAGCAGCTGGGAGAACACAGTTGAATGTGACGCCACCATCGTGGATGGCTTCAAATCTCTCTGAATAAATTTGGCGACAGCTCTGTGTCATTCTGCTGTTTCTTCTTCTTTGTTTGCTGATGGATAATGGGTGTCTGAATTCAGCTGTCTGCTGAGAAGCTCTGGCTGCTGCGGGTCTGACGCATGTCTGTGTGATTATTTAAGAGTATTAATTAGATATCCTTTAAATCACTCCTATATTTAAAATGATTACTGGTGTTGCTTTGATGTGCCATTGGCAAATCTTGTCAGCGCCGAAGTTTGGAGACTACACTAAAAATATCAGCAACAGCTGCATTTGTTACAGCACACTGAAAGCTTTGGGTGTACCTAGCCAAAAAGAATTGGTGTGAAAAGCAATCATTTTAGTGAAAGTCTGTGCTTTCTGTCTGCCTACCTGTATCCACAGTAGTTTTGGTTTTGTTAGAGAGAATTTATTTGGATTTAAATCCTCAGTTTGAAAGTTGCCCTTAAAGAGCATTTTTTTTTTCAGTTTCACAATTAAATTCTTCCAGCTACAAATGAATGCAGGACCAGTCTATGGATTGGCAAACTAAAACTTTCTACCTTTAAAGGAGAAGCAGAATACGTACCAAAAATGTCTATTTGTGAATATTAGAGAATAGAATTAAAAATGAAATCACAAAATTGAACAAATATCCAGAGCCGTCTATGTGGTAACCAGGTTGAGATAGGATTTAATAAGTTAGTGTTTAGCCCACCCTTAGAAACTTTATTTGAAAAGTTAAGACAAGTCTGACTAATTGTTAATGTGTAATGTTGCAAAAACCAAAACAAAGCAAAAAATGTTCCTTCATAATGTTATTCATTAACCCCTCGACGCCCATTGTAGCCAATATGCAACAAACCCCATGCATAACGTAAGCAGCCAACACATTTAGTATGGACCTAGGAACCTTTGGCAAGCTCTTGTTTCTGTTACAACTGCTCTAAATGTGGTCACAAAGGCACCAATGCTTTTATTTATTTATATATATATATATATATATATATATATATATATGTTTAATTATAGCAAGCTAGCTAAAGTTAGAATGTTTTTGGGCAATGATTCTTCATCAGCAGGTGCATAAATGAATTAATTAATCAGTAAATTTAAGCTTCATTTGCTAAAAAAAATAAATAAAAACGTAGCACTACAAAAAGGTCAAATATTATCTGGAATTCATTTGGTTTTCCCATTTTATTCAGAATTTAATTCCAAATCAGAAAAAATAAACTTACTTTAGCTAGTGTTTTAAACCCAATAAGCATAATAAAAAAAAATGTATTGATTTATTTTTGACCTCACAATGGAGAAATTCACTCTCTGTATTAAACCCATCCCCTTTGGAAGCAAAGAGCCACTGTGTGGCACCAGGGGAGCAATCGGGGGTTAAGGGTCTTGCACAGAGACCCCGAGTGGCAGTCTGTGGGAGTGGGTTTCGAACTCATGACCTCAGGATTCCAAGCCTTATTCCCAATATACACCTAAAGTGACAATAGGATTTATTTTTGTTTTTGAAATACAACCATTAAGATAAAGGTATATACCTTTGTTTTAAAATGTCACACTGAGAGAATCCCATACCTATTCTGCTAATACAAATGTGGTCAGAAAAAGGACAAATTGTCATCATAAGGAGGCTAATAAAATGCAATAATGTTGTGTTTTTGTTTTGTTTGTATTTTTTGCAGGGGGTGCTGTATCTGTGTTATTTCTCTGTTTAAAGTCCAGATTCATCACCTTCTGTCATCCAGAACAATGCTTTGTATCAAATACTTTATAGCAGCCAATTTGTTTGAATGCTCTCCCAAAATAAGGCTAAAAAGACAAATTGTGACATGCAAACAGCTGAAGATGTGGCAGCAGCTCCACAACGCCTGCCAAGCCTGGTCAACAAAATACATTTTGTTTACAGAGCAAACAAGCAGTGACAACCAGCTGCCATGACCAACCCTCCCAGTAACTGTGCAAGTGTGACATCAGAATCAAAAACAGCTTAATAGTGGAATGCAAGTTAAAGTTCTGACATTGTGGCATGTTTTAAGGGGGATCTGTAGCTGTTTGTTCATGTGTGCTGCTGCTGCAGCTTCTACACCCTCTCCTCTTGGTTTCCCCCCCCATTCCGATGGCATCACACATGCGCCACGCTTTATGCAAGGACAGATGTACACAGCTCGCGCGGCTCTGCTGCTTGTGTGCAGACACAAACAGGCTTTGATACAGTGGCAGCATTTCACAGATAATTTCCCCACACTGTGCAGGGATCCATTTCCCTCATGTCATATTCCACATCAGTCAAGGTCACCTTCAGCTGATCCACTATGTGCAACATCAACACTTGACCTTGAGTTTTAGTAAGGATGGATTTTTCACAGCCGCATAATGTACCATGTCCTGAAGGAGACAAAAGAGCTCTTCTAAATTAATAGAAAGGTTTTTTTTTCTCCCCCTTTTGTTCAGGCACTGTACGCTGCTTGCTCCCCACCTCCTATAAATCCCTGTTATTTTCTTGACTGGAAAAGAGCAAGGTGAAGGACTTTGTTTTCTGTCCTCTTCTGCAAAAGAGAGTTCAGGACCTCGCTGCATCCTGGGTCCGTGGCTTCAAGTGACGATGGGGTTATTGCACTATAGAACTTAGCGAACAAATATTCAGCATGACTTTGCAATCAATTGACGTTAGAAAGGACTCCAAATGATTTTTCGACTTGATTGAATGACATAATTGACTTGATTATACCAAGTTTTATTCCTCCTTGAGGAATCGTCAAATGCTTAGGAGGAAACAAACAAATCAGACTGATTGAGCGAGATCTCGAGCATGTTTCATAGCCCGCTCATGCACCCTCGGATGAGTTAGCTGCACTGCTCCCGCCATTCTGGAGCACGCCGGCGATTAACTGTATTTATGTGGGCGCGCAATTAAGGCTAAGCGTATGTGCGTGTGAGTGGATTTGAGTGTCTTCTGCTAAAAGACGAGCAGAGTGGGTTTCAAGAGCTGTGAAAGACATGATACAGAGGAAAAAAAATAAAATAATATAAATATAAATATATATATATATATATATGAAGAGCTCTTCATGTTTAATGTGTGTCCTTTCTTTCTGACTTTCACATTCCAGGATTTATTAGATAACCTGGCTGTCAGTGCAACCTACCATTATCACCACACACACACACTACACAGAGAACTAACCCACACATGGAGACACCAATTAAATGTGCTCGTCCTTCATAGAATCCTGGTGGCCGTCGGCATGTTGGGCTGTCACTCAGTCAGCCTGTGTGTTTTCCTGTTTGTTACCACTTATGCATGTCTGGGGGGGGGTTGCCAACGCAGGACCTAGGTTTTGATATATCTGGGTGGGAAGTCTTTTACTGAGGCTCACAAAAATATTTTTTTCACTTTGAAATTGTTTTACCCATTTATCATTTTAGGTGCAAAAACTTGAATGTATACATTTCTATCATAATTTTATTGTAGTATAATTTGCAAATGTTTCCAAACTTTTCGGGGGTCTCTACAAGTATTGAACGATATGACTGTAACCGTTTTTTCATTTCAAAGTGGCCAAAGCTCAGTCTGAATTATCTAATATCAATATACTTCATTGGATTCAGTAGTTAACTCATGTGAATATGCTTTGATATAAGCCAATCTATTAACAGCTTTAACGATGAAAAGCATCCCTAGGACATTTTACGGCCACCTGACTATCAGAGTGGTCATTGTTGGGTTCAGGAGTAAATCCTGTCTCAGTTTTCTCCTAAAGTTATACTGTTTTTCCATTAACATAATTCACCAGTTTAGGACTGGAATGCATATTTCTAGATGTGTGTTGTTTCTTTTGCATGACTTATTTCCTTTTAAGAACAATTATTAAAACACTTTGATGTTATTGACAGAAGACATGTTTACGTGAAAAAAAAAAAAAAAAATCAACCAATCACAAGCAGCAAATATGCCCAGATAAATAGGTCTACAGATAAGGCCTAATAATAAAAAGAAGAAATTGAACAGTTTTTTTTTTTATTGAACTCCAAAAAGTATTTTAAGAGGTTTGCTTGCAGAGTAGAACATTGCTTGTTGTTAAGCATAAAGTACAAACTGCAGCCACCAAACAGGATTTCATTGTTTTCATGACTTTCAATGCTCTCTTGTCCAGAGTCCATTGCTGTGCGACTTACTTTCTACTCGCACGCATTGATCTGCAGGCTAGCTGCAGCCCTTTATCATTCAGTGCAGCAGCAAACCCACTTTAATTGTTTACCGCCACCTAGAGGGCTGAAGTGAGAAATGATGCATCTTACCCTTGGTTAAAGTAACATTACTAAAAATCGAGTCTCTGCAGTTTAAATTTTTTTATTTTTATTTAATTAAATTGCAGTAGGGATGAGTAGCGACCAAATCTATCCAACAGCACCATGTTTCAGTACCTAAATGCATTACTGTTACACAGAGGGAATGGAAGAGCAGGTGACGACAAAAACATAGAATTGCACGCAGAAGAGCATAATGATGTCAGAAGCCCCTGGTATAGTAAACATAGCAAGCATGGCTTATAGAAAGCACTATAGAGTATGGGTTCACTCTCAAAAATATAATGCAGATTTCCCTTGCTGCTATATTTGTAAAGGTGTAAGTTAATAGGAAGGGGCACTTTTAATGTTAGCAGCCAACTGGTCAAACAGTAGATTTTTCTGAAGGCTCAGCCTCAAATCTATGGCTGCAACTTCTGCATTTGCAGGAGTGTCGCAGGATAATCCAAAAAG